AAAAGTACTAAAATAAACTGTATTTTTTTATAAATAGATCTTTGGCATAATCACGTGATCTCACAAGTCACAGTCTTGGGTGACTTTTCTTTAAAGGTAAAAATACTCGTAATAAATTACCAAATAATGGATAAACAGTATTGTGTTTAAAGCGATGATATTATTATGTCTTCTAAACAAAAAATCCGTAAAAGAACCGTGATAAAAAGTTTCCTTCGCAGTACTTAACAAAGCCATTTGTACTCAACAAAACGCGAGATTCTGTGAATTTCCGCGGTATTAGTAAAAAGAGCAAAGAACTGAATTAAACTCAGTGCGGTGGTCAGTGTCAGTGGCCACTTGTCAGCGTTGCCAGATTAAGTATTTTGTTTCATAATTTTAGAGAAATGAAACTGTTGGAGATAAATAAAATTTCTGTAGAGAATTTTGAGTAATACATTTAATAGGTACTACATTTAACTTGTTAGTAGTAATATGCCGTCGGTAGCAGAATTATTATTTCGTCCCTTGTGCGACTAAATACTTAACTAAACGTAGTGAAAACGAACGAAAATTTGTAATTGGATATTGTATTGTATTTGTAGAAAAAAATAAAATAAAAAATCGACATTTGGGAGAAATAAATAAAAAAAAAATCGCATATAGCAAAGCTCCCCCTTGTACATACAAAAGACGAGCAGAGATGGTTAGTTACCGAGATGATTACACGTTCTTGATTTATTAGAAACGTAACTTGTCCGTCCATTTGTGTTTTTATTGGCATAATTCTATGAAAAGACGCGTGGAGCGCGAGCGATGCGATTGCGTTTTGAAATAAAGACATGGACTCTACTGAGAGTAGAGTTCAACAGTACATTAAATAAATTTATAGCTTACTAAGTGTGCGCGTCATTTCGTGCGTATTATACAAATTGTATTTATAACAATGCGAAATCCATTAAGCTTTACAATTTTATTTTATTTACAAGAAAACTTACTGTTACAAGAGAATTAAAGATTGTGTCGCCAAATACAACCGACTTCAGTTGGGACAAAGCCTGTTCTTTTAATTTAAAAATGAAACTACTCAACCGAGTTTGATGAAATTATTATGGGACCAATCTGTACGAATACATTTTTAGATAAAAAAAATCCAAATCGGTTTAAAACTGACGTAGTTGTGATGCGATTGATCACTGAGAACCTCCTTCTTTTTGAAGTTGGTTGAAAATGGAATAGGCATAGGAATTTAGAATTATAAATTTACGAGAAAATAGCAAAGGTCAAAAAATCTATACATTAATTTTTTTCGTGAAAATTGCTACAACCTAGGTAGATTGTAGGTACATCTACAGGGCGGGCCGTCGCGTCGGGCTCCGGTCGTCTTCAACTCGGGAGCCCGGAGACCCGACATATGCGCCTCGAGGTACGTCGTGAGGTTTTAGTGGGTAAAAATCCCACATACCTCCTCTGCCTTCGCTCCGGCAGTTGGGAAGGTCTTTGGAAGATTTCCTCACGTTAAAAAAAAAAGTAGACTGTAGGTAATCTATTTATTGACTACGCAGACAACGTTGCGGGAAGCTACTCTTTTATAAACATCATGGTGTTCCTTACGGAGACTCTGATTAGATATTTATATACTTAATATAAAAGTTTCAAAAAATATATGATATCTCTTTAAAAAAACCTAAGTCAGATTAAAAAATACGAGTAATTTTTATTAAAATAATCTTAATTATAAGCATTTTTGAATAGTTATTATTTGTTTATTATTCTATCGCCCATTCAGAATGCAATTTCAAACGAGAAGAATGGGCAAGAAACACAATAAGAAATTACATATATAAGTATCTCTGAATTTTAGATTTACCCATGTTATATTATAAGTAGTAATCCTTTCCCGTGGGTGACGCAAGAGGCGAGTAATAGAACATAATGATCGAGGGATGGGCAACAGCGTCCCTCTTAAAACATCCTTAAAGCTCTGCGGTCGTCAACTCGCGTGCCAAGCTTGGCAACAACTGGCAAACTCTCCTTATGGGGGAGGGCTAAGTTCGACAGTGGACACTTAACAGCTGATGATGATGTCGTAAATAGGAATATGTATGTATGTATATAGGGGAAGTTCATTACGTTTTTTTTTATGGGAGACTCTTTTATGATATTTTAATCATGATAGTATGATGATACATTTTACTAAATTAGTTTATATCAGTGAAATAAAGACGTTGACACGAGATTCCCTCACTATAATGTAATTGGTTACATTTTACCAATCTCTCTATTCTCATTTCAAGCTTACATACATATGTAATGGGCGACTCTCATAAAAATTAAATTTACATATAAATTGCAATACAAGACGGAAGAAATAGAATATATTCCCATATTCCTTTTTGCAGTAAAAAGCAAACGTTTGTATATTTTATAGATCACGACGGTCAGTAAACTATGTGCAAGCCTGGTAAACTGGTGTGAAAAACTAGTTTTTTGTACGCAAATGAATAAAAACTAGTCAAGTACGCGATGAACTTGCCCTGAGATATCTATACGCGTATTATCAAACTTAACATATTATCTAAGTAGTTTTTCTTCTGGTTTCATGAATTTAATCATCATTTTCATCCATTTGCTATAAACAAATACCTAAAAAAATTAATACTGTTTGAAATGAATATGAAATGAATGAATATTTTATAAAATGAAATGAAATTAAATTAAATGAATGAATATGATATAAAATGAAATTAAATGAATGAATATGAAATAAATAATGAAATGAATCAATGGAGTATTTTAGTTATATTTTGCTGAAATTATAAATATTATTTAGTCAGTATATAATGGTATAAAAATAAAAATGTTAATAAAATACGAATGATACCTACTAGATAAAGTATAAAAATAAACACATTATTATATTATCATCATCATCTGTTAACAAGTGAAGTTTTGCTAGTAGTAGGTGATGTTTTAAGAGGGACACTGCTGTTCATCCTTCGAAAATTAAGTTCCCTTAGTCATCTCTTACGGTACCCACGAGAAAGGAAAGAGTGGCATTTTTTAATCATTTATTTATTCATTAGTACAAATATGTGTACATGGCGGACTTAATGCTAGAAGCATTCTCTCCCAGTCAACCATTCTATACCGGGACCATATGGTACTAAAGTGCATCTATATTATATACTTATTCACATTTTTATTATATTCAATCGTAACTCTTTTATTGGTTTTAGTTGTTATAATGCAAAAAGACAGTTTTGTTCCAGTGTAGCACATATAAAATAATACTAGGTAGGTACTGATTAAACCGCCATATGTTCTCGTCATAGAATGGGCCCATTTCTTCCTTTCCTGTGGGTTTCATAAAAGGTGACTAGGGTAACATAATGGTTGAAGAATGGGCAGCAGCGTTCCTCGTAAAACGTCACCAAAGCCTGTATTTGCCAAGTGCCTGCTAACTACTCTCAAAATCCCCTTTATGGAGGAGGATTTAGGGAGGCCTATGTTCAGCAGTGGACAGTTATAATAAAAAAAATAACAATAATGAGTGGTAAAAGCTAAAAATCTCAAACCACTTTACTACATATAATTATGAATGGACAATGATACAATAGTTCGCTTTCGATTATGGCGGCAAAAAACTTAGCGCTCACCATAGACGATTTTTTTTTTATAGTTTTTATGCATTTTCTAAGATTGGCCAATGATGCGTAAACCGACCAGAAAAGATATTATTTGTGTATTGGAGAGGTCTATGAGCACGTATTGTTAATGTACACTGTGAAAATTTAGAAATTCAATACTATTAAAGAACTTTTGCAAACATGTTTATCTGATTATTTCGACATCTTCATTATTAGATAAAAAAGTGATTGATAAATCAAATTATAGATCCAAAATGATTACGTTTTGTTTTAAATATATACCTACATAGCAGTTTTGTATTTGCAAATACTATAGTCTATTTCAATAAAATAATTAAAAAGTAACCAAGTTTTGTGACTTTAAGTTATTAAAATATTACTATTTAAATAAAATAAGCAAACAAAAATAATGACTCTTATTTAGGTAAACTTAATAATAAGCATTTTTCGTCACTTTACGACATTTTTTATGAATTTATCACCCAATTCGGTATGCAGTTTCAATTGAGAAGAACGTGCAAGAAACAGCTGTTCCTTTTTTCAAATAAAAGTTACAACAAAAAAAAAAAAAATTAATGGATAAATTTACTATACCAAATTTGTATTGAGAAGAAATTTTAACTTTCAATTAATATGTTTTTAATTTTAATTACAGCTTAATATCAGCAAACTGTCTATGGCTGGGTAAAAATATTCGTTTTATGGAATTTAAATAGACTATAAAAATATTTATAAAAATGTTATATTTGATGTAAAAGGTGTGAATTCAAATCCAAACACTTTGAAAATTTTATTTAAATCTCTATTATACACACCAGTTATAAGAATATGACAGAGGTAATCAAATGTACGAAGGCGAGCTTAACTCTAATAGTTTCTTCCAGTAAACCCAAAGAGGAAAAAAGCATCAATGTCAGCGGGTAGAGCGGTGTACAATATTATATTATAATATTTTTATTTTAATATTTCTGTAATAAAATTATAAGCAGTATTTTTTCTTCTATCTATTTTTAATGTAAGATTAAAAAACAATACTAGTACCTGTATTACCTACTACCTAAATACTAGGTATATTTTACTTGAAGGTAAAGTATATACAACAATACTAAATAACGTAGTGATTACTTGCTCTTAATGATTTCAACTTTGACGCCCGAGACTATCACGAAATCCTTTTGATAAAAAAGAATCATCAAAACTGGTTCACATAGTTTACAATGACATCACAATCTGCGTACAAAAAAAATTATCTGCATTTTGAAGTCAGTTAAAAACTAAATCGAGTAAATCTGCATAGAACTGAAATAGTTTAAACATGTTTTTCTACATCGAAGGCGCAAACTCGCATCCAAGCAATCCTGTTTCACTTACCACTACTTGAGTTATTATTGAAGAATCCTTTGCCGCCACATCGGCCTGCTAATGTCCGCTTGCTTTACGATGTTATAAACCTCATTAGTCCACTATTTTTATTTTTTTATGTCATAGACAAAAATTTGTGCCCGCGCGAGTTCAAACGGTACACGCCAAAGACGTCGCGTGCGTCGTAATACGCGTGCATCTATGAACTGAGCATTTTCTTTTGAGACCCCTCTACGGACTCAAGAAGTCGCTACCACCTGTCCGTTAACGGGATGCGTATACGCAAGCTGCTTTAAATACCACAGGGATTTATTCAAACACAATAATATTATGATAATGTATTTTATATTAAAATAACTGATACAAATTCATAAAATATAATAATTGATATTTTTCAAAAATTAATTAGGTATGTAGTACCGAATACCAAAACTTCATTGCGGAAGATATATTACATTGTCAAATATGTATATATAGAATCATAGGTGCATCTAAGTCATAAATTCAAATTGGAAAGACAAATACAAATAAACAATATCTATCTATCCACGATAATTATCGTCAGTGAAGTGTTAACAGTATGTAAGCCAAAATTTAGCACTTCACAGGACAGCAGAAATAATTTGATAGTTTCTATTATATTAATTTTTTAACGTTACATAGTTCAATATAGGGTATTTGTTTAAAATAGAGATTTTTTTATTATTTCAGTCGATCTAAGCTATTGTTAAAAATCGAATCATTTTTATTTCATGTAAAATGCAAAAAATTACTTACGCGCTGTTAGAAATTCACTGGCCTTACATGTATCTTAAATATATATATGTTTACATATATTATTGTTTCTCATTGCTATTTCCTTTTTTGTGTTTAACTATTACTGTTTAGATTATATAGATAGAGTATCGACTGTCAAAAACGGGTCAACATTTAGTTCATTTAATGTTTAGCCGACTAAATTTGAATCATATTTTTTTAATGTTGCAAATAATTACAATACAAATTCTTTGCTAATTTGATTAGAGAACTATTTTTTTTTTCTTATTTCATAAAAATATATAGGTAACAGTACATATTGTTAATTAATATACATGTATAAAATAAAATAGCGGTCATTTTATTTTTTTAATTATATAAAAAAGAAAACACATTAAGTCTATACCCAGATATAAATCAAAGTAATCAATAAATACAACTATCACTGCGAATCTGTAAATATGCTCTGTTTATTTTGCTCTTTCCAATATATTAATAAAAAAATTGTATCGTTTTTATTTTTCAGTTTATTACAATATAATTTCACCCATACACTGAGTAATAAATGTACATTATGGCAACCCTATTCCCGCACACATGGATAAGTTGGTCTGTTTTTGACGAAACATTTGTATGGAGACACTCCATTTATATAATCTAAAGTTTCCTGCTGTAATCTTTCGAAGGAACAATAAAAAGTACTCTATCTACCCATATTAAGAAAAAAAAATAACTAAATATAAAAATAACAATTATATTAGTTTTCACATTTCCATAATTTTATTATTTGTATTATTATCATCTACTTATAAATCTATTTCCAATTTATATCAATTTTGACAATTATAGCTCCATTAAACTAACAAAAAAAAAAGCCAGTCTCGATTTTTCACTAATCGTTTTATAGATTTTATCATTTATATCTATATAACAATGATAAATATGATAATAATCTCTAGTAACATTATGATAATCTACTTATAATAAAATAAAAAAATAAACACCCAAATTTTTTTTTTTATTTCATTGACATTAAATGCAGAATCATAATTATGAATGTTTTAGTTCAACCCAAAGATTACTTAGTCATCAAGATAAATATATTATTGCTTAGCCATATAAAAATATGCATAATATTTAATTTTAAACCACAAACTAAAATAGTAGTTATGTTTTAGCAAATTTAAACTAAAACAGATTAAATGCAGCAGTTAAATGAATCTTCTTTTAGTCTATGTAAAGCGAGGGGAATACAGGTGAATATCATGACAAAAAAAATATGACATTACCTATGGTAAAGTTAACTAACTTATTATGCTACCTAACTCCAGTAATCTACTAATTTTAGTAGAGTAACATACTCGTACATCAATATACACATAACTATATTGAAACTGATAGTTTATTATTTTTGAAATGTTATTATGTAGTATCCTATACAGTGTATTTTGTGCTTTGGATGAAAATAAATAAATAAATACTAATGATCAGTATTTGCTTGAAGTTAGGCGATAGAATGTATACTGGGCTATCATTAAGCAATAGCAAAATTATCAAATATTTGGAATGCATCTTAATTATCAATTTTCATAACTGATAACATGTGTGTTACTCTACCTGTGTACATTGGGCTTATCAGCTAAAATAAAATGCTTATATAAATACATTGAAGATACATGACAAATTAAAAATAAAATAGTATATCGTTGCATGGTATTTTGTTATAAAAATAAAAAAAATGTGGCAGTTAGACAATAATGTTGGTGTACTACTAAATAAAGAACTACTTATGTTAACATTACATGGCTCATAGAAAAGTACTGTCATAGTGTATTAAGTCCATAGTGCTGTATTCACGTATATAGACTACAGTTACCACTTTTGATAGACTGTCAGCTAGCCTGCTATTTCAGTTTATATAATAATGATCAAATGCATTATTTCGTTTTTTTTTTATCAAATTAACTGTGTATAAAATAAACATGTAAATTTGGGATAAAAAGTGGTTTGTTTTAATTGATAGTTATTATTGTCTAATTTCTTTTTGTGTCTTATTTTCAAATGACCATTTTCGATAAAAGAACATTTAAATTGTTTACAACATTTTCGTAAATATGTCAAGTGTATGGCAGTCTACAAATATAAAAAATGAGATTTTTATATACCAACCAATACGTAATAATCAGTATCGTGTTTTTTATTAGTAGGAACTAGAAATTATAAAAACAATATTCAATTTAAAAAAAAAAGAATTCCGATAATGTATACCTATTTTACTTAAGTTTCCAATAAGAACAAAACAAACAGACTAGAAAAATAATATTATAATAAAATAAAAAAAAAAAAAAACTATTAGATAGTTCATTTAATTATATTATGAAAAACAAAATCCCTGTATTTATACGCGTAATTTAACACGGGATGATATTGAAATTGTTAGTATCCTTTTAAGGGAAATTTTTTATCAGTGAAACTCGTCACTAAAGAAATCTGGGACGAGAAACGACAAAAAACTTAGAGACTTCGATGACACGGCGCATTTTTGATACAAGAAAAAATTTCTTCCTCAAGTCCTAATACATTTTATAACACGGATTGAATCTTACCCCCTTATTCATAAATACTGCAACCTGCTATAAATCTATTTTATCTATTGAACTCTTTTGTTACTTTCTTTCAAACTGGGAATGTAGCTAAAAGAAAGAGATGAAACAGTTCAATAGCTAAAATAGGTTTATGAGTCGTCTGACGTTTTTATGAATAAGTTTTACGTGCGACTAACGGCTCCGATATCACCCTGTTGTTGAAACAATAATCTTAAGTCAATTTCCTTACTAATAATAATCACAACTATTTACAATTTATCGCGCGTGTGTATTTACCGTTTATGACTATCGAGCATGGGACTGGAAGAAATTTACATTCTGTTATGTACCAATGTAGTAGGTGACCAACGTCGTTGGTGGCATTAAAATTATTGATATTTAGATACATATGTATATATATTATTATTGTGTCTACTGTTTGTTGACCCAATAAAAGAGAAAAAAAAATGTTATTCTTGGAAAAGTGCAAATTTATGGAAGGAAATTATTCCTCTTGTCGTAAAAGGCAATAAAGGGAACTTAACGGTAGACGGATGGACAGCAGCGTTTTAAAACATCTGCGGTTGCCAAACCCCCTACCAAGCGTGGCATCATTAATAGAATGTGACTTCAACTAAAACCCAAATAAATTGTTACTAGACAGAATTTGTACAATAGTAGAATTATTGTGATACAATACATTTTATTGTTACTGTTTCACAGAATTAAACTTACATTCTACAGATATTTCATCAATTGTATTGTATTGAGTAAAATTTTTAGTGTTGAAATCAATAATAATCTAATGAAAATAATAGTAGATAGTAGTAGTAATAATAGTAGTAATAGAGCAGAAATAATTTATATTCAAATAAATCTAACTTTTAGCTTCTCATAAAAATGTGAACAGTGTATATTTATATGGTCATTTTGATGAGAAGCTGAGAAAAATAGGCAGTGAACACAATATTAGCTTTTTTCAAACAACAGTTGAATTTTACAATTTATAATATGCAGACTATAAAAATTTTGCCACCCCTACCACAACCTCTACAATTTAATTACAATTATTTTTGTCAATAAAACTGTAACCTTTGGCTTCAAATTTGTTGCCCCCTATATTCTACCACCATCTGTGTAAATACAAACCACCAAATAGGACAAACACATAATGTAATATGCTACTTGTACTATGTAATATGTTTATGTATAGGTACGTAAATGTGTAATCCAAAGAATATTTATAACATTACCAATTGATATTTATAAATGACTATGTATAATGGTATCATTATAAAACTGACAGTGTACCTGAAACTGTAAAATCTACATACGATCTATAATTATGTCTCTTCAATATTCGGACTCTCTGAGAACAGTTGTTCATCATTGTATGTACGTTGGTACTTCTTACTGGTGATGTAGACCATCAAACCCCACTTCATCATGATGAAAGACCACACCAATCTGATAATAATACTTGTTTGGATTGGTAGTATATCTAAAACAAGCAGTCATATAATTAAAGATTGTTTCATAATAATTTATGTTCCATACAAAAAAAAACTGACTTCAATTGTGGTAAAGCCAGTTACTTTGAATTCAAAACTAAACTACTGAACCTATTTTGATAAAATTTCTTTGGACCCAATCTGTAAGTATATCTTTTCAGATTTACAAAGAATTGTAAAATATTGCCAAATAACATGCAAGTTAAACCAATAGTTATTACATTAAAATATCAATGATTATTTAATATTTGACAATTCCTCATTACAAAGTCGCATTCTTCTGAAAATATTACTAATATTTTCTAAAAACTGGTTTGTTACTTCTTAAAAACTTTGTGGCTCCACCAATTTTTAGGAAACTTGCTGTATTTGAGATGGAGCAGGACATGGTATATCGTTTAACTTTCTATCTCCCAATCAAACTCATGAGCATTTTTAGTTTTTACATAAAGAAATATTGTTTAATCAATATACTTACTAGCTTTGTAATAAATTTCCAGAAACAAGTAGAATAGTGTTAGTGCTGCACCAGACACAAAACCAACAATACCAAAGTCTCCAATGTATTGTAATGCTTTTCGAGAAAAGTTTGCATGTAGAGATTCCTTTAGGTAATGACAGTGCAACATCAGCACTAACCCTGAATGGATACCTGAAAAAAAAAGAATGTAATAACTTGTACTACACATGTTTATAAAATTGTGAACTCTAAAGGACAATAAAGTCCTTATATTAATATAGTAGATATGAAAGTAGATGTATGGATTGATTGATTTTTGTTACTCTTTCATACAAAAACAAAGAGGTTTAAATGAAATTTGATACATGCATATATTATATTTTAATTTAGCATATATAATACTTTATACATTAAATCAAGCAGACAAAACTGTCTCTAATAAAGGAAATTTTGCTAAATGTTACAAATAACTAGAAATTCGGACTCAGGACAACAAATGTAAGTGCTACTTAATTATTTTACAAATTTCCAAATATTTGCTGCTAAAATCTTGCTCTAATAAAGATAAATATATCGGATTCAACAATATTAATATATGTGTGGGATTAGCTTACTTTAGTTATTGAAAATAATTATTTTCAAAGTTTTCTAGTGAAATCAAAAATTTTGGTGTAGACATTATGAGGTTAAGCAGTTGATATATATAGGCCTATGTCCAGCAATGGACGGATAATTTCTGAAATGATGATGATGATGATGATATGAATAATATATATTCATCTATGGCAGTAAATTATTATAGCGGGATAGCATAAAGTCATCATTTAATATAAGTACTTGTTAAATTATTGCAACGAATTTCTTCTTCAAATCAAATTTACTTTTACTTACAAGTAAGTTTACTTAAAAGCTATAGTAAAAAGATACATAGAATTTACCAGATAGCAGTGCCCACATTCCTGCCTCCACATTCGCATAAACAATGCAAAAACATATAAAAGCTGATATTCCTAAAACAACTCCAATGGCACTTATTACTATATTAATTTTTGTGCGCAACATCTTCACACTACAAATTAATTTCGATTGTTTATGAAAAGTTTGTTATTTAAGTTAATGGTAGTAAATTAAATATTTGGGTATTTCAAAAATAACATCAAAACAAGATTAGATATTACATTCTCTTTGATCAACAACACAACATTCAATCAATTCAGAATTTTAAATCATTCACCAGTCAGAACTCCACACTGACTGACACTGATTAGAGATTGATAACGGACTAAAACTAGTAGGTTTAGTTATAATTTCCATCTCCAGTATAAGTTATACAGTTCGTTATTATGTATAAAGAGCTGTAAGGCGGGCAGAAATAGTAGTAAAAATAGCAACCGATTGCCATTAAAGAAAAGAAGAAGATTTATAGTATAGCCATAAACTTGGTTTATACTAAATAATCTAAAGGATAGACATATTGATTTAGATCATAGGTACAACCAGGTATTCTTAATGTATGTACTAAATTAAGTAAAGCTGTCACAAAAGCTGCTATCAGTTTCATTTAATTTTATTAATATAATTTAATTTTCATCTTTTTTTACTCAAAAAACTATTTGTTAATAGGCCGTAATGTAATTAATTATCTTCAATTATTGGAGATTGTAAGTATGTATGTTATATCATCAGTCATATTTTATATAAACTTTGTTATACTTATCAGATTGCTAGTATCCAAAACTATTAAAAATTAAATATTTTTACTTTGATTGTCAAAATGATTTGACGTTTATTTGTTTGTGTTTGTTCCAAGGTTTCTTCATCTTACCTATTCATTTACGTTTAATTTAATAACAATTATTTATTAAATTAAATAAATCGTATGAAACTTAATATTTTAGATACATGTCTTCATGATCTTATATATAATATATTTAAACATGTCTCTGTTGTTTATACTTACAACTATAATTACTACGATTTAAGCGCTTTTGGGCAGACTTGGAAACTTTTATTATTTAAATATAAAAAAATATAGAAATTACACTTAGTACAATGAGTAGAGTAAGTGCACCACAAATGAAGATTCTTTTGGATTTGCTTAGTCAAGAAGGTGTATTGGTCCATGGAAAGGTATCATATGCTAATACAACTAAATTGAACTTCTGGAAGCGCATTGCGACTCAACTGAACGCCGTTGAGGGGGGAGTGTATAAAAATACATGGAAATGGTGTAAGGTACCTATCTGACCTTTGCTTTTCATTTAAGTCAACTTTGTTTACATAGGTCTGTAATTGTCTTTACTCCATGAATGTATACTTAATTTTTTTTTTTATTTTGAAAACACATTCTTCACAAAATTAAAAATCATGAAAATATAAAAAAATCTGAACGTTTTTTATGATCAACAATCACTACCAGAAATTTTTTCTTATGGTGGCTTTAGTTTTCTAATTTACTTAGTTATTATTATTGAGGTAGTTGTGTTATACACATTTCTGTCCTTAGGACTATTAAATAATAGTAAGTTATTTAATACTGATTCTTATACTGATATTTAATATGATGTATTTATCAGATGTGGGCGGATTGGAAAAACAAGACCAAAAAAAAAGCCAATATACTGTTGAGAAGAAAGAGCTACAATTTTGCACACCCCACACCAACACTCACTAACCTTGAATTAAGGCTTCTAAAAATGGTTGACTATCCTATTGATGATAAGTCAGATGCAATGAAATTAGAAATGGTAAGAATTGACTTCACTGAAGATCTGATATTTGATTCTATAGTGACAGATTTTATATATGATTTGTGTATGAATTATAAATAAAGTAATCAACTAAATAATATAATTATGTATTATTAGTTATTAGATCCAAATATTTGTCACCACTCAATGCTCTCAGGGATACTTTGAGGCGAGTTAAAGCTCTCATAGTTAACAAATTCATTTTTATATTCAAAATATTCTCTGGTGACATGGGACCTTTCCTTATGGCTGTCTTTGGGGAAGGGTAATGTTGAGTAGTGGACACATCATGGCTGAGATGATGATGATGATTCAAAATATTAAAAAAGATATTTTTGAATATGATTTTAGGGAATAAACAAAGTTGAATTACCAGAAATCTCTGATGATGTGCAAGGCGAATATTTGATCGATGAATATAATGAATCACAACCAAGTAAAAGCAGAATGTCTTCAGATGGAGATATAGCACCAGAGTGTTTTGATACCACTGAGAGTAAATTTTGTAATGTTGATGACATTATATCTGATGGTAAGTAATTCTACAAAGTTACTAAGTTTTCTTTTTAAATAATAATTCTAATTTCAAATATTTTGTTATGTTGGTATATACCCAATTTATGTGTAAAAAAGCTGCATTTAGTGTTGTTAGATAATCAGTAGGTATTCATTATTAATTGATAGATTTAATACAGCCCATATTTGTGGCTGTATTAAAATATTTGACTTTAAAAATAAGTTGAATATCTGATTATTACAGATTTATATATGAAACAAATTGACCAGGCAAACATTGTTATGCCATATAAATATTTTTTTTGGATAGGGACAACTTAATCATAGAGGTTTGAAATATACTTTATTCATACCTTGTCTTATACCTAACAAATTACATAAAACAAATAAAAAAATAGAAGAATTTCAGAATTTGATCACAAACACTGTGACATAAGATTTTTATATATAGAATTAGATTATTAGATATAGTGTAGAGTTATGCTGGTGTTTACATTATAAAATTGGTATATTTCCAGATAGTACTAATTTTAAAAAATATGAAGAATCATCAGACACAGAAAAGAAAGTGAAGTGGAAAGGTTTGTAGACAGTAATTGCTGATCGCTCTCTATTAAGTGTATCGTTGTTTGTAAAATATATTTATTTTTTTTTACTACAGGGAAAACATTTAAAAAGAAAAAATCTTTACACGAGTATAAATTAAAAACTGCATTAATGCTGGAAAAACAGAGAGTACAGCATAAAACAGAGGAATTAAGATTGAGAGCCTTAGAACTGAAATTGAAAGGAGAGGAATTGAGATTGAAAGAGATGGAAATGAACAAAATCAACTATTTAACTAATATAGAGGAAGAAAAATTAAAATGTTTTAGAGATATCTCAGCATCATTGAAAGAGTAAGTATTTATTTTGGTCCGAAACAAAAAATATTAAATTGGGAATAATGGAAATACTCACAATTCTAAGGAATAAAAAGGAGTAAGGTTGCAGTAATAATTAATATTAATAAGGAAAATATAATACTAATATATGGTATTGCTCATGTCTATAAGTGATGGTTATCACTTTCCATCAGGTGGGCAGTCAGCTTGTTTGCCATTCTAAATTGCATAAAGAAAAACTTATACTCTTTTCATTACTTGTACTATTTTTTAATATAAAATATTAAAATTAATATTGTGTATTTCCAGATTAGTGGAGCGCACCAAAAATGGAAATATAAGATTTCCTAGTATAATATAATAATAAATATATATAATATGATATATAAGAAGATAATACTGTGATGTTATGTAAAATTTAAGTACTTAATATAGTTCCGGTTATATAAATCGTAACTATTGAAGTATTAATTAAACAATTATTAAATATGGATTTTTCTATATTTATCTTTTAAATAACAACATAAATCAACATATTTGTTTGTAACGTAAACAATAATTTTAATCTTGTTTAATGCAATAATAATACATATTTTACTAAAAGTAGAAAGTGAAATTTTGAAAATAAAATTTTACTTGCAAGTAAAAAAAACAACAACTAATAAAAAAACTACTTTTTTTAAAACACAAGCACCTCCATTCTTATTGCTGCAGTATTATCATATTACTCCTAAATTTGATGCAGATGATTGAATTTATTAAATTTATTAAAATAATTGGCACCATTTTCCAAATAACATACACAAAGGTACAATTTCACACAATTATAGAGATCACAATAATTGGATGTATTATTATTATCATCATGGTTGACTTTGAGTTTATTCTCAGATTTTATTCAGTTTTTCAAAAATTGATGAAAAATTATTTTTGACAATACATATGAAATCTAAGTTTTAATTGGGTTCAATAATGCAAAGAAATTATCTTGTAAATATGTAACAACTATTTTGTTAATATTTTTTAACAGTATTCGCTAACAGAATTAAATATATATTATTGCACAGTAAGTCTTTGTAATTATCACAATATTATAATTAAAAATACTTAAGTATAGGATAAAACTAATTCCTATTAAAAACTTAAAATTGGACCCAATGGACGGCTAAACTCTGTACATGCAGAAGATAAAAATATTATAATTATAACAACATTATTAACATTTAATGGCCAAAAATATTAACATTCTAGAGGAAATCTATTAGAATTTTAAACATTTTAAATAAATGATCTAACGAAAATCTTTGAGCAGTTTAATATAATTTGGCTTCATTTTATTTAGAACAGCCGGGTCTATTTCTGCTACCCTGTGTATCCGTAGATGGCTTTTCATATTGCCTCTCTGTGCATATCCTCGCCCACATATAGGACATTTGAAAGGAGTTTCTCCGGTATGAAGACGCATATGCTCTTTTAGATAGTCTTCATGGTAAAAGCTTGAATTACAAACATTACATACCGCAGGCCGTTGACCTACAAATAAAATACTTTAATTTACTACATTTTATAAAAAGGTTGTGTAACTATACAAGACTGAGAATTGTGTAGTTAGGCAGAAGTGTCAACTGAGAGATGATGTAATGACGAAGATAGAAAATGAGATAATAAGTTTGTGTGGTTACTTGGAAAGCATGGTTGAAAGAAAATTTATTATAGAAATGTGTTAAGATGCAGTTTCCTTTGACAAGTACCATTCACTGTATGAAGACATTTAAATATAGACAAACTGTTACCTGTATGCACTGATCTCTCATGGACTATTACTGACTTTTGACATTTATATGTTTTGTCACACATGTGGCATTTAAATATCTTTTTTGGTTTCAAATGTTTATCATGAACATTTTTGTAATGAGAGCTCAATTCTCCTTTGAATGCAAACCTTTGGCCACATGATGAACAAATGAAATTTTTCTCTGTATTATGTTTCCGTTTTATGTGTCTACTGAGGTAATAATCTGATACACAAACGCGTGGACATTTAGGGCATTTGACTGGGTTGTTAAAGTGAACCTTCTTTTTATGTAATGACAATTTGTCTTGGTTTTTATAAATTTGTCCACATAAATCACATAACTTTGGTGAAGTTGTTTTTGGTTGTTTAGGTATATTTAATGCTGTATTAGCTTTCTTTTTAGGTTTGAATCCAATGTTCTTTTTTTCTTTATGCTTAGCTTTATGTTTAGATGATTCACTTAATTTTGAACTGAAAAAAAATTGCCAATGAATTATAAAAATATATGTTATAAATGTTTTAACTAAATATAATATAATAATAATTACATATAACACAATAACATAAATATAAAGTATTATGAAACTATACAATTACTATAAACAGTTTATATTACCACCACTGTTCTCCATCCCATGTAAACTCTCCCTCTAATATGGAAGATGCTATTTTATTTGTTTTATTTATGGATGCATTTTTACTGCATATTTTTTTAACATTATTTTTATTTCGTTTACTTTTTGTTTTTGGTTGTAACCCTATTGGATCATGATCCATAATATTTTCATAGTTTATGCTCAATTCAGTTTTAATTTTAAAGTCTTCTATATCAGAATGTTCAAAGGCACTGTAATCATTTATATGGTCTATATTTTCAGTTTTTACTAATAATAAACCATTTTGCAATATCTTTGAAGATTCTTTGTATTTAATTATAAAATTGTAAACAGTGTCTAATGTGGTATTGCAACTATTACATATGTAACGAGGAAATCCTTCCACATCTTCAATCTGGGAAAAATAAAATGGATTGAAAATTTACTTCTCTAATGTTTAAACGTATGTAATTATGGTGAGGTAGTTTTACCTTTTCATTTACACATTCAATAAGTTTCGAATGTCTATCGTCTTTTTTATTATATTCGAATATTGGTAATGTAGCACCATCTTCAAGACAAATTCTACACAATGATAATGAAATACTCATATTTACAGTTTGAAACCATTTAATGGGATCTACGAGCTAAATTATCTTAAGACATTTATTAAAAAACTTTATTAAGTGCACCTACGGCTTTAGTTCTTTCAGAGAATTAAATTCTCTGTGACCTACGTTAATTAAATTACAGTGTTCTATCGTTCTAATACTTTTTTGTATCATAATCTACGAGGATACAACATAAAACAATTTCTTGATCAATTTAAATACAATTTTGTTTAAATGCAAACTTATGTTTGTATTGTGGCTTATTTGTCTCTATCATTGGCAGTCAATGTCAGTCAATATTGTCAATGTCAGTCACTATTGTGTTATCTTTATTTACTGTATTTCACTTGAATTATTCAATTGTCATTATATATTTTTGTTTCTGGTTCATAGAGTTAAATAAATAAATAAATATTGTCAGCTGTGGTGATTACCTGGGTACATAGACAATTTACAACAAAGATTTTAGTAAGTCCTTGTTTTTAGGTAACAAAAATTACTATTTGTAATCTAAGGTGGATTAATTATTAGATCTATAGATGATTATCATAAAAAAAGTAAAATTGTTTGTACTTAAAAACATCGTTTAGTTATATTTTGTAATATTTTTTATTAATTATATACAAAATTTTATATATATTATATACAAATATGTTAATTTGGTTTAAATTTGAAAAGGTATAATATATATGTTTGTGAATAGCATAATGGGCAAAACTAGCCTTTTGCCTTTATAAAATAAAAAATATTAAAAAGTAGGATTACCATAAAACAAATTTATATAAAACATATTTATTTGTGCACGTAGTAAAAGTTTTGATCACTTTCATAGGTAATTAAAAAATAAAGGATAAACATGTAAATAAATAAATAACCGCGGTTCAACTAGGGACAATTACAAGGTGATCAAAGACATCTTTCTATTTTCAAGAACATACAAGTATTTAGGTTAACTTTAGTTGGACCATTTACGGAGGTTAGATTGACCATAGCGTTGTGTAAAGATCACCACAGATGTCATAATAGAAAATTGACAGATTTTTTTTTATCGAGCGAATCACAAGACTAATCATAGACAATATTTTTATCGTCTACTTCTGTCATCAGGTGATTGGGATTGGGCCTGGGTAAAAAATCCTCAAGGGATAAACGTAAATTAATCCCTTAAATCAAAATGTCTGGAAAGGATAAACTGGCGATTTTCCCTTCTCGGGGGTAAGGCTTCAGTATTTGTGTATCATAAGATAATAAGTGAAGTCTGGAACAAGATTTTGGTTTGTAACATTTACAATGTATTCCTGATTTTAGTGCTCAAATGTTGATAAAGGGCCGTCTGGCTGGAGCAGTAAAAGGTCATGGTCTATTGAAGAAGAAGGCTGATGCTTTACAAGTCAGATTTCGTATGATCCTGAGTAAAATTATAGAGGTAAGATTTCATACAGAAAATACCAAAATTATGGACTCTGAAGTCATGTCATTCGATAATTTAAACCCCTTATTATTATAGGTCATAGTAATTGTAAAAGAAATAAATTACTTATAAGACAGTTTTCTCACAGACAAATAGTGTACTAAGGTAACATAATATTCTGTGAAAAATATTCTCGATATTAATATAATCAAAAAACCTAATTTATAGATTAAATTTATTTTAGGAATAATGTCCAGGGTAAATTGGTATTTGCTGTGTTAAAGGGGAAATGCTATCGACAATATTATATTGACAATAGTCATGTTGGTATGTGGGATTAAACATTTAAGACAACATAATAATATAACAATATTAAATTTATTATTTCAGACTAAAACCCTTATGGGTGAAGTAATGAAAGAAGCTGCATTCTCACTAGCAGAGGCAAAGTTCACAACAGGAGACTTCAACCAAGTGGTGCTGCAGAATGTCACAAAGGCTCAGATCAAAGTTCGGTCTAAAAAAGACAATGTTGCTGGTATAATTATTTTTTTTTCTTACTTTCCAAAATATTTATACTTAAATTTGTTTTTATATAGTTTTTTGTGATTAAGAAAACATTTGGTATAGGTAGGAATTTGAACTCTGACATACTAAGCCAGTGCTTACCAATGGAACTAATTCATTATACTTTTATATTTTGAGTATGTTCATATCAACTTTTTATCATTTATCTATGGTAGGAATATAAGTACTATAACAGTTGTAATCTACTATCTATACTATATTATTATAATAAATAATGTGTCAAAAATATTTTTTTGATGTACATTTTTTTTTTATTATTTATTTAAATACACACATCATGACATTTATCTCATAAATATTTAAAACATATTTTATTTCTTGCTAAATTCAGGTGTCACTCTTCCCATCTTTGAGTCATACCAAGATGGTTCTGACACATATGAGCTGGCGGGTCTCGCTCGTGGTGGCCAGCAGCTCGCCAAGCTGAAGAAAAACTTCCAGACAGCTGTTAAGCTGCTGGTGGAGCTTGCTTCACTGCAGACTTCATTTATCACTCTCGATGAAGTTATCAAGATCACCAATAGACGTGTCAATGCTATTGAGCATGGTGAGAAAATATTAAGTCAATCAACTTTTGCCAAAACTTTATCTGTCTGAACACATTTCCTCTTATTTCCATGTAATATCGGAGATTCCTTTGATAATACTCATCTATCTTATATAAAGAACTACTTTTCGATATATGTTTCTGATCAACTAATCGAAGTCAGCAGTAACATTGGCTGACTAAAAATTTTGTATAAGTAAATAAGTACAAATAAGTGCTTATAAATGGAACTTGAAGTTTCTTTCAGTTTTTTTTTCCTTCAATTAACTGATATAAATAATGGTTTTTAACTGTTTGTCAGTTTGTTTATGTATTAGTATTTCATATAGAGACTGCCTGATTAACTGTCTAAAAAATTTCAAAATATATTAAATATATGTTAACATGTAGGCTATACAAATGTTAAAAAATGTTCCCTAAAGTTTAAAAGGTATTTTTCAAAGACATTTGCTGTCAAGTTCTCTTACTCAACAATAGATGTTGCACAAAATTGACGTAACACAGACACTACAACCAATGAAGTTGTAAACGTTGCTAGGATTTGTATAAATTGAAATTATATCATTTTCACAGTAATTATTCCACGATTGGAACGTACACTGGCCTATATTATCTCCGAGTTGGATGAGCTGGAACGTGAGGAGTTCTACCGGCTGAAAAAGATCCAGGACAAGAAGAAGGTCATCAAAGATAAGGCTGAGGCGGTAAGCAACACTGTATTCTTAATGTGTGAAGGTTGCTTATATATTCTATACTTTTAACTGGTTTTGGTCAAAGGTTATTTTATAGAATTTAAATTTATACAGTAAATTACATTGACTTTGTTTAAATCCGCTAACATTACTATATGTGTGATTATCTTTCTTTATTATGGCTGGTCTACCATTATTAGAAGCTTCATATATTTTAAATAAATTATTCAAATGCAATAATTCAAAATGCAATATTTACATATTTCACTAATTATAATTTTACTAATATTAGAAATATGAAAATGAGTTTGTTGGTTGCCTCTTGGTGCAATAATCGTTCAATCAATCATTATATAGTATTTGACATAGAGAAGAACAAAAGATATTTTTTATCTCAAACAAATATACTGCTCATGCTGACAGTGTCTCAGGTAAAAATTGGTATATTAAACAAACTAATATTAAATGCTAGTTAATATAAGTATTTCATTTTATTGCTCAAAGAGATAAAAAACTATACATATACTTTCAACATTAACTTAAAAGGGTCTAACTGGCCAGGATTATGATAAAAGTATAAATTTTAGGAAAAGTTTTAACACCATAAGTTTACAAAACTGAAGGGTCACATACATAGTAATGATGTTGGAAATAAAGAATTGGCACACCAATGCCTATTTACTTGTCTATTTTAATTTTTTTTTTAAGAAAAGTTGATTACAGCCATACTCAAGTATAGAATATATATTAGGGTTCTCTCACAATACATGTATAAAGTTGTGTATAAACCGCTTGATTAACCTCATTTAATAGTACAATCAAGTGTGAAGGTATAACAATGTTGTTTTTTTTAATTAATTTACTAACATGTATGTATGTGTTATTAAAATGTAAAAGAACACGTGATCTACCTTTTAATTTAAAAGTTTTGTAAAGTCTATATTACTCGATGAACGATTATTTAGAAGTATACATCGAAATATAAACATTATGGGACTGTACACTACATTATACGACGGATGGAGAACTGGTGGGCTCGGCGAGAGTATCCTATGAGTATTAGTATGAGTTTAAAAGTTTGTAAAGATATTTATTTGTTTGTCACTCAGACAAATTATATCCTTGGAGAATATTTTTAAAATGCTTTTGGGAATCTTAAAATTTTGGAAGTTAAAAAATTTTACATTGCTCTCGTCTAGATCAAATGGGAGTTGAATCTGCATCTCAGTACAAACTCATATTAATGTTAAATTATCTTCTCCAATTTACTTAAAGTAAAAACAGAAACTGTTGAGTTTGTTTCGGGTTTTTTTTTCAGCAAATAACATTCTGAACCAATCAATAGAATCATGAAAATGAATTCTCTATTCGAATAAAGATTCTATCTAATCTATTATATTCAGTTATCCGAGCCGAATACGTTCTCAATTACACCACATAAGAAATACTATTAAACGCCAATTTTTTTTTAATGTAATTAAACATGACGTAGCCGCCTTGTTCCGTGTCAATAAATAATTAGCGGCTTTTGTCCTACATTTTGTGTAGTACTTTCAGGAGCAGGAAATTGCTGAGATTGTATAGTTTTTATTCATTTTATACAATAAGAATTATTTTTGGTTGCCCTCGCAGCAACCGTCTTTTCTTCGCTCATTGTAATAGATATAGTCCTTGACTATCGTGTCAAATTTCTTATTATTTCCTCTCGCCAAATAACAAACATCTTAAATTACAATAGAATCGAAAAAATTGAAATTAAAAGCTTTGTTTTGACACATAATCCTTAATTTAAAAAAATTTGACAATTTTTTTAGGTATGTTTTGTAAGCAAAACATTGTGTTACGTCTTACGTTGTTTAAATCTGTTTGGAAAAAATTACTTACTATCACTATCGATTGTTAATTTTTAATTTTTTTTAACTGTTGCAACTATACTGAACTAAATATTTTAGACATTTTGCATAACATAACATAGATATAGTAAAAGCATATTGAAATTTATTGAAGTAGGACGAGATTTTTTTGGTTTTTTTTACAACACGGTGCAAACGAGCATGCGCCACCTGATGGTTTAATTAGGTTTGTTACCGGAGTTACCGTAGTCTTTTTCCTTGCGGAGTTTTGGACAAGAGTGATAATAGTTGGCTAATAGTTAATGGAATAATGAAAAAATAATTATTTAAAAATGCTTAAATCTAAGTTTACTTGATTAAAAATATTTCTTTCTTTCTTTTAATACGTTAATGGGTAGTGAATTATGTCCAGCAGTGGGACTTTAGTGGATTGTTATGGCGACGATAAAAAAAGATATTTATAAAATCTTGTTAGACAATTTAAATTTTTTTTTTGTGCGTGTTGTAATTAAATCTCTTATCCATTCTAATATTTCTTTCTTATATTTATTTCTTCCTTTAATCTTCCCAAATGTACGTTCTTAAAAGGTGTATATGTAGATGTGTACGTGCTTGTTGTGTATGTATGTTTATTTTGAGTTCGTACTTTATTTTACGCCATCTATCTTTTCTTTTTTTTACCTGTCATCTATGGAAATAGATGCACCTAGTACATTGCTTACATTCCCTTAGGTAGAATAATAATAAGAATAGATATAATTTCTGCATTTGACTATTACTTCCAAACATACGTGACCAGGTGACAAAATTATAACCGAATGTGAGACTGAATTTATTATAGGTTTTGACAATTTATGGCTGACAGTTAATTTTATACGGTCTTCATGTGATACAGCATTCTATAATTAAGCTGTTTAATCTGAGCTAAGGCTGTACATTACATCAAAACTTCGGATATTTGACTCTTTTCATACTCAACAATTTATTTAGGCCAAGTTTGTTCTTAGGTTGCCTTTTTAAAACTACAACAATATATCAGTTTTCAAAATAAACGTCATTCGATTTATGATAAACTTTTAAGAGTATAAAATATAAATATACATAATACATACCACAGACAATTGCATTTTTTTCTTTTGTTTTTTGCACGGAATGCATTATGCTGTTTTCGAATTTTTCGCTTTCTCGTGAGCAAGTTTATAATATGTAGTTAGCCAGTGTTGTTTTGCTTTTATATACTATTATATATGTAGGTAAATTGCATCAGTATAACTTGCACCGCATTTATATTAACGGAACCCTTCAACGTGCGAACCACTCGCGCTTGACCGGTTTTGTTATTATTACAGAAAAAAGCCGAACTTCTAGCGGCTGGCAAAGAAGTGCAGGGCATCGCTAATCTTCTAGACGAAGGGGATGAGGACCTTCTCTTCTAAGTTTTTGCATGCAGTAGATGTATGTATCTTGGGGTTGGTCGAAGTCAGCTCTCGCCTTTGTCGGGTTATGCGGTGGTGGTTTGTGATGTGACATATAAGCTAGTAACCTATGTATGCATTTATCGATTCTGAACAATCATATTTACAATACTAACCGGTTTTGGTGATGTTGGCACTCCCATATTCATTGTGCATTTGTGTCTCTACGTTAACTTATTTAGGTGCAGGGGCGTTCGAATTTTTAAATTTCTTTTGTTTTTCCAAATTGATATATATATTTTTAATTTTTTTTTTCAATATTTTTTTAGTGTAATATAAAACGTAATCTCTTTTGTACCTTGTCGCATTGATCTTACCAACTAGTTTATTGGAGAGTCATTCGTGATAGAATCGTAAAACGATTCTTGTTTGCAATTCATATAATTGACAGTTTTATTTTTCATATAGTTGATTACAATTATTTTGTTTAAAGCCGCTATCATTAGTATGCGTGCGACTGCCAACTTTTTTCACAATAGCTATATATTGTGAACACTTAGATTTCAGAAAATATAGTGACAGTATGATTTATTAATGCAAATGTACTCGAGGAAATACTTCTCAACAATTGATTCTAATATACTATTATAACATTATAATCTGTAAACTGAGCATAAAGTTTTTACGTCAACGTTACTCTTCGTCAACGTCACTTAAAGAAATTAATATAAAATTATTATTAATAATTAATTGAGATCAACACGAATAGGTCAATTTGATGATTTCTCATACAAAACTGACTATTAAATGTATTGCAAATATAAATTGTTTTTGGAGGCTTAGAATGTGGCCACATTGTGCGCTCTAGCTCTAGGCAAAGTACACTTTCATTGGACACATCGATAACCAAATGGTTTCAATAGCATAAGCCATAGATAGAGAATAGGAGTTATGGCGTAAGCCATTCATGTTGTTTAATTTTTAACTTGAATATAAATTCAGATTTATGTTCAGATTAAAAAATAAGAATTATTCACGAAATTAGTGACTTGCACGGTGATCTTTTTTCCATATATCTAGTTTTAATAGTCTAGAACTTGGGATAGTAGTATCGAGAAATGCATGTCATAAAAATATACAGTTATTGCTGAGATCGCGGGCTTTTCAGCATCAAAACTATTGTGACAATCCTTCTCGTTATATTAAGCTTAAACAATGTTATTATTTGCTTAACATTAAATCATTGTCATCATTAGAAAAAATAACTTGAGAATAATGGGAAAGGGAAATTACGATAGAATTTACTATTAAAAATTGTTTTTTTTTTTGCCAAAATAAGCAGTTTGTGCTTTCTCAGAATCATGCGCATGAGTGCCGTTTCCTTTTATATAATACAAGCATTACGCAATTAGAGATTTCAAGTGTGTTCACTACACATGTTTAAATACATAATGCTTAACAATTGTATGTACTTTACTATCACCTATGTCGACATGTACTTTGTCTAGAGCAAGAGCAGTTAGTATAAAAATATAATAATAATAAGGGATTATCAATTATTTATTATCATTGTGACAATATACATACATAAAACGCATACTATTGCACGTGGCCATACATATTACATATTCACAATTTCTATATTATTTATGGTTAATACGTGTCAGCTTTACCACTGTTCAGAATCGAATTGGTCGCAAACGTGTATAGGTAAGGCGCATCTAATACTGCTATGTTCTTTTACAGAGAAAAGCGGCACTGCTGGCCGCCGGAGAAGATCTCCGCGACTCCTCCAATCTTCTCGACGACCAAGAGGACGACGTTCTGTTCTAAATTCCACACTAACAGTCAAGTGAAACATAATTGCGTAGCACCCATATATTGAACTTGTGTATTAAGTTTTCACGCGATACATTTATCATACGAATCTGCTAACTTTTTTATTAATAAAAATGTTCATGTCCTATATTTTCTCTATTATGTTCTGTCTCTTTTAAATCAATTGTCAGCTTCCATAGACAAAGTATAAACGAATCTATTATTAGAATCGTAAGCGCTAGCGAGCCCGTAAGATAGAATGAAATGGCGACATCCGCTATCTTGTTCTTTCACATGAGAACGCTAACCGAAACTATTCTATCGATAGATTCGTTTTGCCTTGTCTAAGGGGGCTTATTAGAAAAAGACAAAACATTTTAATGACCAAAATCAGGTTATTAGACGGTTTTATGAATAACAAAGTTAGACTTCGTGGTATATATATCAATACGTGGATTATTTCTATGTCAACTTGGCTGTCCAAATAATATTACAGTGTTCAATTGCGTTGTAAATAATATATTGTTGTCATATTAACATGTTTATAGACTTCTTATGAAGTGCATTGATATTGCATAAAGATATTTACGTGGACACGTAATGTTCACGCTTGCTTAAGGTCGTATGTAAGCATTCCACCATACGTGTGTTATTCAATAGACAGGTACTAATAGAAGAAATGTGGTGCCGGAGTTAGCTCTCCTGGTATCAGTAATAAGTACACCACTTAAGTATTTATGTTTTTGAATTGTTGTTCGATTATTACAATATATTTTAAGTGAACGATCATGTAAATACAATTTGTGATGCAAATTAGAAAAAAAATATTATTATTCTTATTGAATCGGTGTGTTTTATTTGGAAATGAAAACCCATAATGCATTTGCTCTCCAATCCTTAATAACCTTATTAATATTGAACATGTGGAAAGTAAGCTTGTTTGTTAAGTTTACGAAATTTGTTATAAGTACTTAGGTATACCAAATGAGCTATAAGTTGAGCCTAACACTTAGGTTTTTAATGATGCAGAGTTGAAGTGCAGCAACGAGTCAGACATCAACGACAACGGACAGATGGCCCATAAGGGCGAGGTTTTGTATACTGTCGAGTACGGTTCACAGGTATTAATAACTTAAAATTGTGTTCTACAAAAAAACTGGCTAGAGTCGTGCAAAATTTAGAACCAATTATTTTAGAACCATCGAACCTATTTTGATCAATTTTCCATGGTACCAATCCGAAAGTATATTCTTTGAGATAAAAAAGAACTTTCCAAATCGGTTTATAAATGACGGAGTTATGAGATAATTGTAAAAAATACAATCGAGTTCCTTCTTATTTTTTGAAGTCGGTTAAAAAGTAACTAATGTAGACGCAACAGCACTGCGATTGCGTCGCTTCGCTCTGTGCATCAATGCGAGTTGAGCCTTTGGTCATCCGGAGCACGCGGAATTCCTTGGCAAAAATCAGTTTTACCGTTCGATGGAATTGTAAATCTATTACTAAAATTTATTAAGTTAGATATTACACCGAAATCTTTATTCTAGGAGCTAATGTGAGCTTAATTTCTAAGAGATTTTAGTCAAAATTATAAATATAGTTTATAATGGTCCATAAAATAGTATTCTCGCGAGATTATTAGAATATTAATTTTAAAGATAGGTTTATTTCAGTGAATATCGATCTCATTGTTTCGATACATCTCTTGAGTAATAAGAAACCTTCCAATTCTGTTATAAAAAATAAGCTGTATAATTTACAAATTTATTATCTCCTTAGAAAAATGTTTACAGAGGTGTACTAATAAATTTAATTAAATCAACGATACTGACGTTTCCCTTTTGCGAGGTAATATCTATTACCTTGTTTTTCTAACAGCCCAAACTCTACGGCACATCTTATGATATTCCCTATAGACTTGCCCGTCCTTCTCGGGTCATTTACAACCTTGTAATGTTTCTTTATGAAGTTGATCACTCGTCGGGATGTAAGACCATCTCTAGATGGGATTTTGTGAAACGCCCACAACACAATGGCGGCTGGAATGGATTTCCTCAATCCTGTTTTAATTCTTAGGTAGTGTTTGGTTTTCCTTTCTGAGATGTAGGTGTTAATGCTTCTAAATGAGTCCATACTGCTACATGGTGAGTACGTTCGTGCATATTTCATTATATGACCGTGTTTGGAAAGCAGGTATTACCAATTTTTATGGAAATTAATAATAAATTTCCATTGAAATTTTACTTTATCACGACACAATTTTTTTTTTGTTTTCTATTTATTTTTTATTGAGGTTTTGTCAGAAATATAAGTTGACAGTGATGGATAACAGTGGATAGTTTGCATGCTATTTTATTTAAAATCTTATTTACAGTACGAAATTATATTTATGCATAGTGAAATTATATTTATCCATAAATTTACAGTATAACTGTAATTTAAGTTGAAATCTTAATATAATCTTAGTATTAAAGCTTTCGAGACATTACGTTTCACTTCATGTTTACACCACGAAATTAGATGTAATATATAAAAGGTTCGACCGAGTGGAGTAAAAAGGTAAGAAAATTCGAATATAAGGAATATATTAGTACAACTAAAGATATTTGACCTTGACGCGTACAGTAAACAGTGTTTTGTTTTGCTCCGTATAAATAAATAAAACTAAAGTATGAAATCAACTCCCAACAGAAGTATTTCCGAACAAATTCAACATTGAAACCTTCAAGAAAGAGCATATTCTTTCCTAAAAGCCCGTCAACACACTATGTGCCTATGGAGGCGGTAATCACAGCATCAGATGATCTGTATGTTGGTCTGCCTTTTGTGTTATATATAAAAAAAAAATCTACTGTTCGTATCAAGATTTCGGTGTTCTTAGACTCGTATTGACATACCTACTGATTTTTTTTTTTGGCTTTGAATTATTTAATTATTTGATATAGGATAAAAAATAAAACTTTATTATAAAAGAATAAAATAATAATATAATAAAATAATAATAATAATTAAATAAAATTTAAATATAAATAATTCGTCAATTACCCTGTAACTCGTAATGAAAAAGAGCGGTAGGGAGACACTGTATCTTTACAAATTCATCTTGCCTTTTCCGAACGGGCGGAGTCCGTCGTCTCCTGGATTGAATAGGTTTGTTAACGGTCTATAGTGTCATCGGAAAGTTGGTTCTAAATTTAAATAAATTTGAAACTTTCAATTCGAACGACCGTAAACATTTTCATATTATGATTTCTCATTTCCGTAATAGTACCTACTCTAGTACTAATATATGGCTTTGAGGAGTTCTTTTTACTTTTGGAGCTATCGCCGCGATATAGATTTCGAGAGCAAGTTATCTACTACGTTTTTTAGTATAACCGATAGAAGTTTTTTTTATACTACTTAGAAAGGCAAACAAGCTGACGTCCCACCTGATGGTAAGTGGTAACCGTCGCCTATAGACATGAGCAGTACCATGGACATAACAGAGTATACTGTTTTGTTGTTTTTGGGTTTTTTACTTTTCAAATTATTAACACATCAGTGTCATCAAACGTATGTTATTGCCTGAAGAATATGTTATATAGAAACATCCCAAAGCTGTAATAAGTATGTACGTAGCATTGCTCCGCCTTGTTTACAATTTACAGTTTCATGGTTGTTTTCTTCGTGAACATCTTTGCATGATCACGAATGTGGATGACTCTCCATAAAATTTCTCCTACGTCCCCAGGGTAGTGGCCTGAAACAAAAGAAAAGGGGAAATTGAGGCTTTTTGAGGAAAATACACGAACACTTGTGTTGGCATTCGTTTGACAAGACTATGTATTCCCCAGTGTTGCGCAATAATTACAAAGTATAGCTATGTTTCTTATGTTTAGAACGTCTGTGACGCTGTATTAGTTATGTTGATATGCAGAAATGAGGTCCTACCATTTGGCTTTTTTATTTAATGAATGAAAATGGAATGGTAATCCCGCTTGTGCTATCGTATACGCTGGCGGGCATCAGTGAGGGATGGTAGGTAAGGATGAAAGTAAGTTAGTAAGCCTATCGTGACGAATTCCAAATGAATTAGTCACGACGGATTCCAGGGAGAACAGCGTGCATGTCGACCTACCAATGTATATACTCGTATATTGCTAGCAACGTAGCTATCACGAAAGAGAAGGAAACATCGATGCATCTTCTTCAAATTTTTGCGTTTACATATATGTAGTAGTAGGATGGCCTTCTTTATTGAGAGCATGGATTGTACTTGTGGAATTTAAATACAGTTTTATAGAAAATTGGTGTATTTGTACAAATCTATTAGCAAACAATTATGAAAACCGAGTGACCAACCAGTTTAGAGTACGGACACCATCACAATAACAATTGTACATTACAACACTAGGTGGCGGGAGGGAAAGGGATTGTTAGCAAAGGAGTTTGATAGCCCCATTGCTAGCAATATGTCCTATTAAGTCGACGTCCACCTGGTTCATCCTGGTAACCTTTGTGAACAATTCTTATTGAATTCGTCACGATGGGCTAACTGACCTGCTTCATCCTCACCTATCATTCTTCACTGGTGGAGCACCAGTAAAGAATAAAGAGTAAGCGTATCCCGATAGCGCAGGTGGGGTTACCATTCCGTTATCACCCATTAAAAAAAAACACCAGGTGACGCTTATGGCGCGTTGAAAATAAACATATATTTTTTAAAATAAATTTTGTCGCTAGCAACTTGAGATAGTAACATTTTAGTCCATTTATTATAAATGTAAGTATTCTTATATGCCAGATGTCATTCAGTAAGGATCTTTCATAAATTATTCCACACCTATTATTTCAAATGAACAGTGATATGAAAGGAAAGAAATCAAATACAGGTAAATATCAATGATATCTGTTACATGTCACTTCGCTCGTGTGGAGGTGAGTTATTTCCGTTCGTACTCCAATAAAAGATATAGGTATAGGTATTCTGTATTCAAAATATCTATGTCTATAACTTAGATTATGTAGATAGAACCTTGAGTCTCAAAAACTTTGTCAGCTAATTGTCAAATTAGTTGACTCGTTTTTTACCAGTGTTCTATAGACTTACGCACATAATGTACTTTGGCGTATCTATATTTAACGATTTAATAAACAAAATGAATTTTTACGCATTGAAAAGGTACAAAAATTATAAAACAAACTAAATATAGAAGTTATAAAGGAAACACCCATAACTATTTATCACGCAAAATTATATGAAAAAGTTGACCCGCTTTTCTCGAAGCATTTGTATGGAGACTAGCTATATAATCCAAGGTCTGTAATTTCGTTTAATATTAAATTTTTATCCTTAACAATAATTCATTGTACTTTAAAAAAACAACGGTATGTTTTTAGACAATATCTAGCTTGGTATCATACAATATATTTATATACTATTATCTAAGATAGTTGGAAATTTAAATAAAAATTTTAATGTCAACCAAATTTGAACTTCAAAGTCATTTAGTACTGAGCCATAACGTGTTTTAGATAATTATATTAGATTAGTTATCATAAATTAGGGCTAAGCATATTTTTGATGCAATAGTTTTAAAAAAGAAAGAAAAAATATTATTTTTATACATCTAGTTAAAAAGATGACTATGTTAAAATCGTATTATTTGACTATAATTTAATTACTACTAACTACAATACAGTACACGAAACAGATGTTTTTTTGTTTCATAATACTAGCTTTTACCTGTACTTCGTTCGTGTAACTGAGATATGCTGATTGTCTGGGATAAATAATGGTCTACGTCGTTTTCTATCCCATATCAAATTTCATGATAATTGGTCGAGCTATTTGTGCTAAGA